CACAGCAGGGAGCAGCGAGACCCGCGGTGTCACCGCACGCAGCCGCCCCCGCGGAACCCAGCGCGGCTCCGGCAGGAGCCACCTCTGTCCCGGAGCCCTTGCTGCCCGGCTGGCCCTGGCTTCCTGCGCCAGCCAGAAAACCCCAGCGAGGAGGTTATTTTCTGACCACGGAGCACACGGTAAATAGGCAGATGAGTTGCTGCCGTACTCTTCTGTGTAAGAAATCAACCTGCATTTTGCATTCAAGCACAGGCTTGCTAAACCAGGCACCTGCAGAGGTGCCAGGAACAGACTTGAGCATAGCTCAGACCTGCACCCCAGCTGATTTCATCATCCCTACACATAAAAAACAATGTCTTTTGAAATAGGGATATTGGATCAAATTTTGTCTGTCCTGACTGAGCTGGAATAGTGAAGCAATTCTCAAATGCTGTAGACATAAAATGAGGTTGCTAAGCACTTAAAAATTGGAATTCTTTCAACATGTACAAACAGAAGAGAAAAAAAAAATCAAAGTTAGAAGCAGTGCTACCGCTGTTCTCAAACTCCAACTGTGCAAAGGGTCAGGGAGACGCTCTGGAAAGGGCATAAGTGTTACAAACATTACAGCAGGTTAGGTTTCCAACCACAGCATTAACTCTTTAACTGCCGCAATCATTAGGTCATGACAAACAGTGTGTGAACCACTGGCCTGTATTGAAAACGATCCATCAGATTTATTTATTCCTACTAAAACAAGATCCTGTTAAACAGTACGTAACTGTGTCTCTACAAACTCACAGCTATCTGCCAAACAATAAAAATTCAAAACTACAAAAGATGAGTTGTATTCAGTAAATATAAATGGGAAATTTAGGCTTTGTGTAGAACGTTTATCAGACTATTTACAGTGCAACACAGATCACTTGAGTTCAGATCTCGCCAGCTTCTCTCTCTTCTGATCTCTTGGAACGAGACTTGCCATTTGTGCTCTCGTGCCGTCTCTCAGAAGAGCTCTTCTCTTTCCTCTCTCTGTCTCTGGACTTTTCTCTTGAAGATCGATCTCTAGAGGATCTGAAGTATAAATTACACCATCACTATAAGCTTCACAACTAAAAGAAGGTGCTAAAATGCATAAAATGGCAAAATCTTTCTTAACAGGGCTGTGACATAATCCAAGTTTCTTAAGGAAGTGTTCCCAGGTGCTGTGGCATCAGGAGGAGTATTACCTGGGATAGCAATGGTGCCCCCTCCACAAGCTCTATGTAACGTATCTCCAAGTTTTGCAGCGCTGAGAGCACTGCACAACTTTGTTAGTCTCCCTCAGAGTGATCCTTTCCTACATGACTCCACAGACCCTTTCTGAGGTGTTCCCTGGGGCCCCTTATTAGTTTATTGGGCCTTACTAAAATGCCTGCAGTTTCTTCCTCATCTATCATTCCACTCCTGTTGGTGTCTTTTGGAGTGTTTTTAGGTTACACCTAAGCCAGTGGCTTTCTGCTCAAGAACTGCTTTCAATGACAGCTATGGTCTTTGGATTTCAATGCCTGCTCTGTCCTGGACTTTTATTATTTTGCATCTTGACAGGAATGTTTGGCAGCATCTGCTGTTCAGAGGCAGGATGATACCATTTTACATTCATAATCCAAAACAGAGGCAAATCATTTCACAAAGTACAGCTACAGATTCCCATCAGTGCTTCAATGAGTCAGTCCACACAGAATTAATTGGTGGGATCCTTATTAAGTCCAAAGCCAGCTTATTGTCTAGACACCTTCAAAAGACACTGACCCTTTATCATCACTTAATAGCTCTAACCCCTTCGAAACTGGGCAGAAGTCTTCAGAGACCCTGCACAGCCAGTGTATTTTATTCAAAAACTCAGCACACAAGAGTTTCTATTTTGCAGTTACAAAAAGAGACCTGGCAGGTATCTTAAAGTCTCCAGCTTTCATTCCTGTTGATTTTTCAGGTTTCAAACTAGTGCATAAATGATTAATTAAGACCTTACAGCCCTCAGTATCACATCAGCCATTTCACGTTCTCTTCAGGCTAAATGACAATTTAAAGTAATGAAAATATTTCTGATTTGATTAACTCCTTCCCAATCCCACAATTCCTGTTATCCATAATTCTCCTACACTGAGGTCTACAGATCCCACAACAGTCACTCCATTTCTCTCTAGAAGCAAGACATCTCACTAGCAGGACTGTAATGTGAAGTCCATTAATTCTCTGAGTGAAAACAGAAGCTACACCGATTCAGGGGATTTTTTTTTTTCCTGTTCGTTCCTTTTTTTTTTTTTTTTTTGTAAACTGTTCTTTGTCTCTCCCCAATATGTCAGCTAGCCAATCCCCTACAATCTCAGTGGGCTGACTGGAATGTGTTCAAGGTTTTTGAAGTATTCCCTTACCTGCTCTTTAGTAATAGTTATTACAGGGTCTTCCTCACTTCCTAATTGTCCAAACTTCTTTTCTTTATTTTTCATGTTCAAGACAGATTTAAAAAACGACTTTAGTATCTCAGCCATTGGAGAATCAACAGTATTTATACAACCCCCCTCAATTAACATACTTTTGTGCACAGACCATTATTCCCCTCCCATTCATTGAGCATCTTTAAAATCTGTTCTTCCTCCTTACCTAGATGAGGCACAAGACAGCCCACCAACAACGGTAGGTTCGTTTTCAGCACTGTACTCAAGTGGTGTTTTCTAGGAAGGTGAGACAGTGCTAAAGCACTCCCTTAACTAAGGGAATTAATAAGAATACTCGACCTAACTTCAGCAAACACTCAGTGATACACTTGTTCCTGGGCTTTAGAGGGCCATAAGGAAGCACAATGATTCCTTTCCAGTTTGCTAATGCTCATACATGCACGTGTGCTTCCCCTTCCTTCAGAGGCAGTTTTGAGAAGAGACTTCAGGTCCTTCTTCGGACTAAAACAACTTCTCCAACAGGGCACCTCAAGTGACAGGAAAAGGGCATCCCACCTTGTCCTTCCAGCTTTTTGTTCCCTTCCTCTAAATAGATATTTCTAGAGAACTGTCTCTTAGACCAGCCTCCATCTTCCTGTAATAGAAGACTCCCTACAGTTCCCAAACACACTCCCCTTCCCCATGCTAGTACTCCCCAGTATTGGGAGACAGGAGCTGGGGAGTAGAAGGCAACCATAGGAATGTAACATTAAAACCTCCTCCCAGCTATCTGGATTTTGTAGATCTGTGGAGGCTGAGTTAGCACAAGCACAGCCTCCGTGCTGCTGCTTATACAAGAAAACAAACCAGTGGCTTCTCAAAGTTCAGCACAGCAATTCAGAGAACAGCATCTCTTCCTCCTGAGCTGGGACCCCACTGTCCTGTTACTGCCCTACTGCTCTGCACTGCGAAAACTGCTTTGGCTCAGGAGTTGGCACAGGACGTGCAGCTCCTAGCTTCAGAAACTGCCCACTAGGTAATCAAAAGAGGCTCACAGTGATGTCAAGGACTCCCCTTTTCAGAAACACTGTGTGAAAAACAGGCATACTTGTGTTTTGAGCTCCTGTCTCTGGACCCCCGTCGGTGGCCTCTGCTATGGCTGCGGGAACGGCTCCGGTGGCGCCTGTGCCGGTCTCGGGACCTGGAACGAGACTTCCGCCTCTCCCGGGAAGCTGATCTTGAGCGCCGCCGCCTCCTCTCCCGGGATCGTGATCTGAGGAGGACACAGACTGTCTCAGACACAAGAACAAGCCAGTACATCACATCCGCACCGCGCAGCGTGTCTCCGACAGTCCGGAGTTACACGCACCCAGCAAGGTCAGCACAGAAGGCACATCACCCCCGGGGTGAACACAACAAAACACCAGCAGGGAAGTTCAAGCTGTTGAGAAGCTTTCTAAAAAGCTCTCACCATTTATGTAAGGACAAGCCATCGTGTAGAGCACAACTACTGCCGTGTTTCAGTCAAAGTGAAGCTGTATAAGACAACAAGCTAAAATAAATGGCACACAAAATTGCTGTAACCTGTATGGCAGTATGCAAAAAAAAAGTCTCCCTGTTAAGTACTGCATTTTAGGAGCTCATTTGTTTCAGTATGTTCTAAAAAGAAAATGAAGGATTCCAGTGTACTTGGAAGACAGCAGAGAGAAATGTTTCAAAGTATGTTTTCACACAGAGAATACTGGTATTACCAATAAGCCCATCGCAGAGATGCAGGGGGTTTCAATTTTAAATCTCTGTATTTTTATATTTGAGACACATATATGCAATAGAGGTATCTCAGGCATTAAATCTATTGAAGGATGTGAGAGACGCTTATTGAAAAAGGCACCAGGGATGTTCTCTGGTTGACATTCTGGGACACACAGCACCCCCTGTCCCTGTCCTGGCCAACCTTGGCTTTCTTGCCCTACTGGGGACATTAGAAGGAGCACAGCACCAGCAAGTCTTGAGTGGTAGCTCCCATTTCTTTCAGAGTGACAGAAAGTACTCAATGAACTGCACTGAGACCCATGGAAAGCCTCTGTAACTAGACAGAAACACAAACAAACATTTGGGATAATTGCAGGGAACTGCACTCACCTTCGACGATCTCTATTTCTTGATCCAGACCTAAAAAGGAGTGTTAAGTGAGAGAAGCTTTCATAAAGCTGGTGGGGTTTTTTTCTCAATAAAATAATCCATCCACCCTAGCAGCTTCTCATAGGAATGCCATAATACCCAAAGTAACTTGTCAGATTAAAAAAGAAGCTTGTCATAAAAACCTCGGAGCATTAACTTGATTTTTTTTCTTTTTAATCAATCTTATAGAAAAAGCTTTAGTCTCTACAGAGCATGCTGGAGGAACAATTTTTCAGTCCCATGCAGTTTCCCATCAGAAGAGATCCACAAACCAATGCAGTCTCCAGTAACACAACTCCACTTTCCAACCTCAAGTTTTACTGTGCACGCTCAGTATGCATTTTTTTTTTTTACCCTCTGCAGTTTAAGATAAACTCCAACACTTTAAAGGGACAGTGCCACACTACAGCCAGAAAGATAAGCTGGACAGGTGCAGGTTTTCTGATTCTGGTTCCTTCAAGGTAGTTATGTTTAAAAAAAAAAAAAAAAGGTTTAAGAAAAATTGAGTATTTTCTCACTTTTTCATGTTTGTTGAATAGGCATTAAATGTAAGTTCTCACTATCTTTTTCACTTTGGGAAAGATGAGTTAGAAAAAAGAAAAAAGGAGGAACACAGAAATAAGGGAGAGTTGTTATTACAAAAGGTGCTCAAATCTTTCATCCCAGACTTAGAAAGCAGCTTTAAAAGTGGATCTCAACGCACTAAGGTCCCACCAAACTCTCTCTAGTTTCCAATGTGTTAGAGCTTCTGTAGGGCACTTTTACTTCACCTCCCAGAAGCATTAGCTTCTGTGAAGAGTCTGTAAATAAAGTCACAATTCTTCCAACATCTGAAGCACCATTAAGAGTCAACTTCAAATACCACTGCATCTGGAAGATGGACTTTTCTTTTTCTCTAGAGCATTGCAAAGCCAGCATACATTTAGCAGAAACACACCTATAAAATATTACACACAGTCTGAAAGGACTCTAATTTAATTGAAAAGTGGCCAGTCTCTGTTCAGCGAGTTACAGATGCCTGCTCTGATCTCCTCACTGCAGACTTACTCACAGGGGATGCTCCAGTTACAAAACGCAGTAACAGCTCTGTAACTGGAGATGCAGCTGAGTGATGCAAAGACAAAATGAAATAACAATAAAACAGAAAAGTGTCTATTTTAATCATACTCTTGTAAAATCATACCTGGATAAGACAAGAGAATCAATGTGCTCTGACATCCTGCATGAGAAAATGGGGTTGTTCAGTCATTACAGAAAGAAAAACAAACATCCATAAAGGAATTCAGCTTACAGGATTGTAAATAAGACAGAGCTGAACTCAGAGTAAAGGAAATGAACCATAACACTTGAAATCAGGTGAATGAACCACAGGCTGAGGCAACATGTGGCCAGCCCCGGTGAAGGCAGAGCTGATAAGGCAGCAGAGCAAGGCAGTAGCCACGCACCTTTTCATGTAACAGAACCTGAGAGCGCAGCTGGGCCGCCCCTAGACACCTCACAGGCTGCTGAATCTGTGCTGGTGACTGCAGTCATTCCAAGTACTCAATGTTCTTTTATTCCTGATCACTTTATTCTGAACTACTGGGGCACACATCCACAGAAAACCATTTAACATTCCCTGAACAGGCTGGCTGGCCCTCCATGCCCCTGAGCTGTGCAGAAGGATGCACTGTAAAATCCTCCTCGTCACTCGGCAGCGTAGACGCCCAAATGCAAAAGTAACCAAGAAACATCACTTTCCTTAGCGGCCCAAATCAGCGTACAGCAGGACGTAGGACAAGACTGCTGCCCAGCAAGCTCAGAGGTTGCATATTTTTCTTGTGTCCCTGCATCATGGAGGCTTTCCACATAGGCGTACATTCACTTTCATAACCAATGCTGTCCTCCAGCTTACTACAAAGGAAACCCATTTGGCAGCTCCACCTTGTCTTTTTTGCTGGTGTACTCAAGAGGTAAGCCCACAATTTTGGGCTTCCAGGCACATTACCACTCCAGTGTGGTGTGTGGCGCGCAGCTCAGTCTCAAAGGTCACTGGGTATTCAGCAGACCCCAGGAACACCAAATACTGCAGGACAGAGGACTCAGTTTACCACTGTGGGTGACAATCCAGTTCATAATCAATTCATACTTGGGAGTCGCATCTTCGTTGACAGATTAATGAAGTTACTCAAGCTAGAGAGATTCATAAGCAAATCTACAGGTTTCCTTCCTGCCACAGCACTTGTAGAACCACCAAAGTCTTCTTAAAGTTGAGCAATACTCTTTCTCTTATAAGAATAACACAGTGAAGGTTCTGCATATGAAAATATCACCAAAAAAAAGTATGAAGGAAGCACAGATTTTCTGTGCTGGGCTTTTGCAGAACCATCAAGAACTCTCACTTCAGAATAATCCAATATAGTGCTTAAAACCTTTCATATTTAAAGCACTGGTTATTCAAAATTGGTCTTCAAACACATGGATCAAGAAATCCAGAGAACTCTTTCTGAAGGCAACTCCATTGGGTTTGGCAAGTTTCACACAGAAATCACCTCCAGGAACATGGAGACAGACAGACAGTTACACTGTGCCTAGCAGAAAGGGCCTGCCATGAAGCAGCTGCGTTGGAAGACTCCTCGTTTCATTTTTACCTTCCTCTCCATAGCAAGGCAGACTTACAATATGACAACATCCATCAATCCATTGCAATTAAGTCGTGCACTCATCAGCCAGTTCCAGATTCTGTGGGTCTCAAATACAACTGCATTATTGCCAATTTTGCACAGCGGCCAGAAAAATGAGACGTTCTACAGAAAATGCTGCAGCATGAACTGACACTCTATATGACATCAGATAATCCACACAAGAGAAAGAAGTTGTATCGAACACTCAGCTCAGAGAAAGAATAACACTTTGGGGCTTACACTTTCATCGATGCCAAGAACAGCCACAGAGTGCAGGAAACCAGGCGCCTTTGATTCTGCTAATCATTTACTGGCTTTCCAGAAGTCAGCACCATCTTAGAGCACACTCCAGTTGCCTATCTCATATGCAGATGCAAATGGTTAAACTTTCAGTAAGACTAAGGGTCAGAAAGAGCTCTCCACAGACTTTTTTTTTTTTCTGGATGCAAAAGTTCAAGATTTTGAGTAAAAACACTTGGGTGGGACCAGGGAATCCTGTGACAGTGGGAGCAGCATTCCTACTCTGCCACTTCCTCTGCCTACCCTTAGCAAATAAGCACCTGCTTCACATCAGGCTAGTGTTTAAATGAGCTGTTTACATTCATATTCCTGTTCATTTAAGCAAAGATGACAAAGGTTTTTCCAGTTCAGCCAGCAAGAAGCAGAAGAGCTTGTCATCTGAATACCAGCACTGCAGCCACTCCCACTATTTAGGGATTATACAACTATGAACGAAACATGATACATATGGCCATAGCCTCCAAAACCAGCTAATCATTAGGACACCATAAGGATGTCTTGGGAAGAGTTTCCAAAAGTCATTCCAACAGGAGCTCGCTGTTAACATAGAGAAGTTTCTGCATAAGAATCACAGCCTGTATTTTCTGCTCACATAGACTAGCTCTTTTTTTTTTTTCCCCAAGACCAGTGCCTTCTGAGCTAGCACTCATCTTAAACTTTCCCACTCAGCTGCATTAAAAGAAGACATAATGGGGACTAGTCCAATACAGACCTGACGACTGCTAGGAACTCACAGGGTCACAGAATGGTTGAAGTTGGAAGGGACATTTAGAGATCCAGTCCAGCCCCCTGGTCAAGCACGGTCACCTAAAATGGGTTGTTCAGGACCATGTCCACAAAGTTTTGGAGTATATCCACAGGTGGAGACTCCACAACCTCTCTGGGCCGCCTGTTCCAGTATACAGTCACCCTCACAAGAAAAAGGTGGGGGTTTTTTGCTATGTTCTTGTGTTTCGTTTTTTTTCCCCCGTTCATCCTGTCACAGAGCTCCCCAAAGAGTCTGGCTCAGTCTTCTTTAAGAAATTCCCTTCAGACATACACATATTGATAGGATCCTTCAGCCTCCTCTTACCCAAGCTAAACAAACCATTTTTTCAGCTTTTTCTCATGAGAGACCTTGCCAAGAACTCTATGCAGCACTCCAGGCATGGCCTCACCAGGCCTGAGCAGAAAGGAAAGATCATCTCCCTCAACCTGCTGGCAACGCTCTGCCTAACGCAGCCCAGAGTGCCCTTTGCCTTCTTGGCCACAAAGGCTCATTGCTGCTCATGTCACTGCTGTCCACAGGATGCCCAGGTCCTTCTCTGCAGAACTGCCTTCCAGCAGGTCAGCCTCAGCTGGTACTGAGGTACAGGGTTACTCCTCTCCAGATGCAGGACTCTGCACTTCATGGGATTGATTCCTCTTGCCTGTGTCTTCAGATTGTCAAGATCCCTTGACAGATATCCAGCCAGTTATTCCAACATAGAATGCCATCAGGATGTTTAAGTATGATTTGCCCTTTGAGAATCCATACTAACTACTCCCATCACCTTCTTGTCCGTCATGTGCCTAGAAATGGTATCTAGGATTACCTGCTCCAACCTTCAGAAGGATCAAGTTGAGGCTCACCAACCTGTAGTTCCCTGTCCTCATTCTGACCCTCTTTGAAGCCTGGAGTGACATGTTTTCTTCCAGTCCTGAGGAACCTCCATGACTCCTTTCAGATACACAGTGGAGGCTAATACCACATGCTGTCATTCTAAAGTACAAGTTTTGTGTATTTGTTCCACTTTTTTTATTACATACTAATGTGCTTGAACAACTTCCAGAACATGCACAAAAGCTGATCCAACCTCATACACTGGGGGAGCTGTTGCTTTCCCTTGGCACTCAGGTACAAGAAATCAGGCTATTTTGAAACTGACTTCACAAACTATCAGCTTTCACTTACCGTCTGCCCATTCTCTCCTCTCGTTCTCTCTCTTCTCTCCGTCTCAAACGATCCTGGTTTCTTTTTTCTTGCTTTTCTGCCACTGTTTTCTAGGAAAAAGTTCATATCTTGTTTCAGTCATAGAATAACATGTCAGAGAGATCGGCAGAGACTGTACAGGTACTCAGACAAAGAACTGTTTCACTCCATTTTATTTGCTGGTCAAAATCTCTGCCAAGGTTCTCATTTTGCTCAAAATTTCACTAAAATATGTTGGTGCAGAAACTATCACTCCCCGTTCTGCTTTTGAGTGTCTGCCCTCTATGAGACTAGCGTGTCAGTTTTGAGACAAGGGACTATCAAGGAAGGCCAATATCACAGTTTTGTTACAAAACGTTTCAGAAAATTTCTCCTCAATGTTTTCTCTACCCAAGACCTACTTCACTGACAGCCTTATGAACTTCTTCACTTGAAGCATTTCTCAAAAGGTTTTTTTTTATAGTCAAAAAAAAAAAAAACAGTGACAAAATTTCAATTCAAACCCATGAGAAAAAGCATTTGTAATCACACGATCAGTTTGCGAAGAATTCTGTATGAACTTAAAAGTGCTGAATATCTTCATGACTACAAGGAGAATGTTTAAAAACAACAGGATTACCCTCAGCTGATCCAGTTTCTCACGAATCTGAATGAAGCCCAAGTGTAATTTTCCTCCAAAGTGGTCAGCAAGACGCCTGTCGTTGTCATGGAGACCCAGATATGCAGAACAGACCTCACACACGCGCAGCTTCTGCTGCTGGAAACTGGATGCAGGCATTGAGTTTCGGTATTCTTCCTTAAAGAGACAAAAACAGCCAGTTGTCAGGAACAGCCCCTTACACAGCCACAACCCTCCAGGAAACACCTACAAGGTTGTCCTGCTGCTTTCAGAGATGAAAAAAGCATCCTCAACATAAAGGAGGTGCCAAACAAAACACTTCAGGAGTGCAGCTGGCCTGACAGCCTAGCCTGCGAGTGACCAGCACACAGATATTTCAGAGGAAGAAACTCCTTCACAGTCAGTACTCGTCACACAGTCAGTACTCTTCAGCAGATAAAGCTCTCTAAAAGCTTTTCTTGGTCTATCACATTCCATGGCCAACTGCGTGCCAGCACATTGATGCAACTGAAAAAAGGAGGTGCTGGTGAAATAAGAGCAGAAGGAATCGCCCAGCTGTTTGTCACCCACAAGTCTAGTTCAGCCAGCTATTACAACTCTTGGGAGGATCAAAGCCATACCTCCGCCTCTTTCTTTTTGGCTCGAACCTTCTCCACTTCCATCAGGATCTTCTGAGACTCATCCACATTTCCTTCAGCTCCCAGCTGTTCAGCTTTAGCTAGGAGTTTTCCAATGTCTTCATTCAGCTCATGTACTTTCTCTGCCTAAAGAGAACAGTTTGTTTCAAACAACACAAAAAACTCCCAAAAGCTTGCAGGACTGAAAAAGAGTTGCTTAAAATAAGCAGTTGTTGGAGGCTAACTAGGAATCTCCATCAATCAAAGGAGTCCAAGAAAAAGAGACTGATGGGCCAAGTAGAGGCAAGGCAGTTGGAGATACGTTAGGAAGGAAAGAAACTGGACATAGACAGGACATCATTAGTTCTACCACAGAGTGTGGCACATTCCTGGCTTGAAGAACAATTGGCCTAATGAGGGAAGCTGCTCTGTAAGCTTGAGATGAGAACTCTATGTGCACACACCAAGGAAAAGACAAGAATCATGGGATGGATTTACTAATTTAAATTACTACATTAACCCTGAATAGGATAAAAAATTACTGCATACATCATAGCCTTGCTGAAACAACCTATTTTACACTTCGCATCTTACCACAGTATGTTTTTTATGATAAAGATAGGAAACAGCATTACAGGACTACGGCTGGAATTCACAGTCTCCCTGGGACCTACCTTTCCAACATCAACAGCTTTAGATCTATTTAACAACGCTCTTGCTCAAGCTTTCAGGACAAATATGTAATGAGGCCAATACCTTTGCAGACACTTCAGCACTAATCTCTTCCTGTGTCTCAGCCAGGCGTTTCTTAGCCAGCTCTGTCCTCCTATCACACTCTGCAATGAAGGATTCCAGGTGATCCATAGCCTGTATTTTCAAACAAAGAATAGTGATTAAAGGTGCTCCCAGAGCCAGCATTCAGCTTTGATATCTTATTGTTGCAATTCCTGTACAATGCACAAACAATCTCAAGAAGGGATGTTTCTAACAAGAGTATACGACATTTTGTAGAAAAAGTAAAATTTATTTGTCGTCTGCTCACAGCCTGCTGTAGGATGATCACATAAAGACTACTTAGCACTGGAACTCCATATCATGAACTGCAGATGCAAAGACAGAAGCACTACAATAACATAAAAAGGGAAGACAGAATTGTTCTTTCACTTTATTTGCTCCATCCTAGAAAGGTGAACCTGGTAAAAGTGAAACAACTGAGCAGGAGACTTAACACCATCTCTTTCTGGGACAGGCCACCAGATCACAGGGACCTGTTACAGAACAAAGGTTTGGGATGCAAGGAATGCTGGAGGATCCTCAGAGCTACCTGGACTAATTGGGTTGGCAAGGGCCATAATTACTTTTGCAGTTTAACAGTCAGCATGAGTTGACATGTGGGAAGGAGCCACATGTTCTTGTCAGATAATGCATCAACTGATGAGCTGAAATGCCCGTTGAGTTCTACTGCTCAGCCAAATAACCTCAAGAGGCAGTTTCCACAAGAGTAAAATTTCTCTAAACTTACATCCAGCTCAAAAAACAGGTCTCTCTCTTTACTTGCAATCTCATAATCTGCTCGCAATGCCAAGTCATGAATCTTTGTACATTCTCCCAGGTCCATACGCTGTTGAAAAGAAAAAGAAAGCAATGTTAGCAGTCTCTCAGTATAGCAACAAGCACGGATATTAACTCTTGCCAGTTCTATCACTACAAAACAGCGGTTCTTTAGGAAGAGCTTCCTTTAAACCAGTAGCCAGAGGCATCACATGTTCACTAGAAGCACTTCTACATGTTCATACACTTCTACATCTTCATACACTTCTACTACTACATGTTTCTGAAGCAACATTAAAACACTTCAACTATTTTAAGCCCAGTCCCACTTCTACTCTAGCTCACAACATGGCCTCATGACGAGCTGGGAAGACTCAGCAGCAGGCATCAATATCCTTCAGTGGGCACCAACACCAAATGCATCAAATAATGACGCTACAGTACCAGCAAAACATACAGCTTTGTACCTGCAATTTAATGCTCACAAAGAAAAGCACATCTGCGCCAAAAGCAGCCTGGGTAGAATAGAGAAAGATACCAGACAAACCACAAAATACAGAGAGAATGATTCCTATCAAGAGGAAAACAGTCTTAAAGGAAGCACTATAGCCACAAGAAAAGCACAACTTCATGCACAGCAGCAGACTCTCACAGTCAGACTCCACTGATAGCCCCTTCCCATATTCAGCTGCAGCTGCTCTGCCCAGCAGAGCAAACGGATATACATAAACCTGTGAGTTTCTCTCTAAATACAAGAGACTTAACAAGAGCAGCTCCTCTGTCATATAGCCCTGACCTGCATTCTGCCCTTCCCTCCCATTGCAATGAACAGTACTTAAATTTGTTGATCCCCCCACATAGTAGTTGACAGCCAGAAGAAATGAATGTAATTATGCTCTTAAAATATGGAAATTGTGTTTTTGCATTATCAATATTTAACAGAGAGCGCCTCTCATTTCTCTGAAATATGGAAATTGTGTTTTTGCATTATTTAACAGAGAGTGCCTCTCATTTCTCTAATAGAAAATCCTAACATTTTGAAATCCAAAAATAACCCAAGGTCTAACCATGAGCCACAGCAAGCTGGAAGAATGACAATGCACATGACACCACATGAAGTCACATCCCAGCCAGTCATCCGCTTCTCTCCTAGCCACCTCCTCAAAGAGCCCAAAACTGAACACAGCATCACAGATAACAAGGCACTAAAGAAGGGATTACAGTGAAAGCTGAACAGAGCTAAATCAGGATCAGGACCCCTGCAAAACACCCCAAGCTAGAGCTGGGGGTGCAAGGCATCCCCACATAAAGCAGTACACTCAGGCAACAGCAATGGAAGTGGAGAGCAGGAAATGAAGCCACTAAAACAAGTTCTACCAAGTAACGCTTGTATTTTAAGTAGTTACCTGTGTTAAGTTTTCTTTTTCAAAAAACAAAATAATTCAGGACTTGTCACTATTCTTCCTCATTTTGCTCAGATTTGCCAAAAGCTGGAGGCCACAGGCAGCAGGCTATAGAAACAGATGCCGCATTCACGGGTAGTCCTGTTTGAGCCTCTAATAGTGGAAATTTAACACCTACAAAAACAGCGTTACGGTGTTTTCAGACGTTAATGTTCATCTTCGGGTAAGGCTTTTCAAGGGATCCTAGAAAGCTACTGTCATTTTACCACAAAACCAACTTTCCACAACATTAGAGCACAATGTGACTTAATTCTTTTACTTTTATGGTCATTCTAGTGAGATTCTTTTCCAGTACAGGGAGAAATGATGACATTTTGTGAAACTGTCAGAGATTGGAAACATTCTTCTCTGAAACATTCTTACAAACTGAAGCACTAGCCCCGCTTCAAAGGGGCTCCATCCCAACACTTCAGAAGAATGCAGTACGCTCTGTATTCCTCTCCCCACTTCATTAAAAGGCAGCAGATCTTCCAATCTCTTCCTCCAGGGTGATCATCCAGACCTTGCCAGCATACAAACCTCAAGTGTTCCTCCAAGTTCTTTGGGATGATCTAGGCACGTACAGATCTTCACAGGCATTGCTGACTTCAGGTAAGAGCACTAGCCCTTCTGTTTCAAAGGGCCCTCTTGCCTCAGGAAGATCTGCCATGGGAAACTGATGCTTTCTACCCAAGAGCTGATCATGACCTACCCCAGTCAGTGCCCATGGCTGGTTTATGATACCAATATTTCACACAGGTTACCAGAAGAGCCCGAACAAAGACTTAAGTTTCACCCCTGACACCCACACACCAAGGTTTTAAGCACTTAGACATTCACTACTGATTAGCCTGGCTCACCACTGCTGAGCAGTCCAAGTCTTCAGAGCTTTTCTGCTAAATTGCTAACTCGCCAGATGTTTTTCCACGAGAGAAACTTCTCAAGAGTAAACAGTGTTGCAGAATTTTGCCCAAATGAAAATGGAAAGTATGGGTTCCCATTAAACAATTCTTCCAATTTTCAGCTCACCAACACCTTCCAGTAGCAGATAGAATAATTCCTTGAATGCAATTTCCCAGTGATATTCTACCTACACAGCTTTTAGACTCATCTGCTCATTAGTGGAGCTAACAATTTTGAATAGACAGAATCTAGATAGAATCTAGATTCAATAGATTTGAATCTAGCCAAAAAGTCCCCAGGTAACAGCACACAGATGTACTGAACACTACCTCACATTCTTCCAGAATTTTCCACGTTTCCCATGCAGACAACAGGAGAAACACTGTAGTTTTTTTAGCAACAAGTTTAGACAGACAAAAGGAAATTTAAACAGAGTATCGCCACTTGGGAATATTAATGTTGCAACCTCACCACCAAGGTTTGGGAACAAACAATCACAACAAACAGCCAGAGTCAGCACAACTGAGCAGGTGTCAAGGAAATTGTTCGTCCCACTGTGAAACAGTTTTCCACTATAGTCTAAATAAATTAAAAACTCTACTTCTTTAACAGTGCCTGAAAACATGCAGAGCAGACACCTTATTGCTCCTCTAATTCAGAGTTCTGACACAATGTTTTGAAATATTTCTGAGGCCAAAAAGAAACAACAACAAATCACAAGATTAAGCCAAATTACAATTCTATCTCTTGTGACCGGACATGCCTCCTACAGCTCTCAGGAGTAGCCCAGACCTTCATTTAAAATCTGGACTCCTCCTCATACTCCTCATCCGAAGGTCAGTGAATAGGATTTCATTACGCTTCACAGAACGCAGCTACTCTCAGGATCCAGCTTCCTGCTCTTCCTCATTCAGCTTCCCACTACTCAGCAGCCTCTGCATACATGAGGGATGCAGCAGGGACTGGACCTGCAGGGGAAGGATGAATCATGACAATTACCAGAAGGCTTGGAGTATCTCTTGGAAGTTTCCATAGATCCGAGGTCGTGATTCCTCCAATACACATGCAGAGGTGGGTGCTATGCCATCCAGTTGAGGCTGCTTCACTCATCTCTCAATCTCTCTCAGAGACTAAGTTGCTAGTAAAACTGTTTGAGTTCATAGAGAAAGTCTGCATATTCCAATTAAATTTCATTCTGCACTGGTGCAACTGACAGATGAAATGCTGATTCTGTTCCAGAAATTACGTTTTTCAACACAGATCTGTAGCACCAACACAATTTCTTGTCCCCAGGAACAGCCCGATAGCAGCGCAAAGAGTTTCACAGACACTTCAAGGGCACATGATCACTTAATAGATCCAAACACTCCCTTACACAGAAGGAGCCTTTCCCCCTGTTCCTGCAGGAGAATTCTGAGAGCAAAGACCACACTGAGAATGAAGACACAACTCACTGAAGACGAGCGACAACAGAAGCAAGACAAACAGCTTTCTCAGCGGGCCTCTACCTGACCCAGAAGACTCCAAACTCATCTGAAGACCCTATATTTTCTCTGTGCTTTGATACCAGAGCCAACGGTCCCACTTACCATTGTGTATAATTCCTTCAGCTTCACCTTCACCTTCTTTCTGGAAATGTACCAGAACTAGAAGGTGGCAGCCTGTACTTTCAAATGAAATTTGGGCCCTGACCTACATGATAACCTGAATGGAGGATGGCAGGGAGGACTTCAGCAGCTTTACCCTTCTGAAATGTAAGTGAGAAAACATGGAAGCTAATGTAGGAATTGCTGGAAATACATCCAAGATCCAAATTTCTGCCCTACGCCTATTATAACAGTTTAAAAATATACATATCGGTATTCAACTCTACCAATCTTACTCTGGAATAATAACCCTTCAGAAGCAGAAGTTTGACTGCCCAGAGCCAAGGCAGGTTTTGCTAAAGCTTCTTCTACTCGTGCTGCCACACAGTCTTGCTGTAGCAGTGACACAATCTAAAGAAAAATTCCAGCCCTTTCCTTTGCAGGTAGCCCATTTTATCAAAACCAGCTCTTGAAGCAACAAAAGGAAGGGTTATCAATAGCTATGGCATCTTTTAAACAATTTGGTTAAACAGATGGATGATGTAAAATACCACAATATTTAGTGTCAAACAGGCTAAGGTGAGGGTAACATGAAGCTAAAGACCAATTTCAAGCACCCACATTTATCTCTATCCTGCAATTATGCAACACCGCAACAATAAAAAAACGAAGTGCTGCCTTTTATTTTGAAAGTCAGACTGGACTTCTCATCTGGGGCACCTAAATACAACACTTAATCCACAAGATCATTTTTAAAGCCCTTGTCACCTTTTGCTTGCATTTAGGCATTAAAGCCAGATTTCTGAAAATGAGCTCCCAGGTTCCCCAGAGGGCAGTAGCTGAGGAAGCAGGGAGATGTAACTGTGTTTAATCAGTCAGAGTGACACACTGCTCAGCCCAGCTAATTCTAAAGACAGGCGGCATGCACTGTAACCTGCCATCAGCGCTCGGATGCTTCCTGCAGCTGGCCGCTTACGATGAAAAAGCTGCTGCTGAGGCATTCCATGAAGAGAACATCACATGCTCTGAAAGGAGACTGCAAAGCTGTGAGGGTTAAGGATAATTTCAGCCAGCGAGGAAAACCTTGCTAACTTGAAGATCTAATGGTGCTCAGAGCAGGGAGCTGAAAAAGGCAATGATCTGTGATCTCCGTGAGACAAGTTGCAGGCTCAAACCAAGTCAAATCAATACAGTATTTCAAGATAACTCTGGGAAGTGCCAGCTACACTGGTTTTATACACAGGTCATAGAAGCTGAAATTAAAATGATGCCTGTTCCTAGAGAACTTAAGGGGCATCACTTAGAAGCTATCTATGATGCATGGCTTAGTGCTGAACTCTTTTACCAGCTTCTGTCATGCAGTAGCTCCTTATTACAAAGCATATACTTACTGTTCCTGCCAGGATATCATGTGGACAGCAATCCAGAAGGTGGCTCTTGCAAACCCGATCATCCGTGAACTTCACCCTTTGCCTGGTTTCATCTCCTGAAATTCAGTTGTGGTTTAAAATAAGGACACATTAGAATACTGGTAAAAGTACCAAGATGTTGGTATGATCATTCCGCCTCAATATGCGGATTAAAATACTTGGTGTTCCTGCTCCCCAAGATAACTCAAAAAACCTTAGAGGGCAACAGGATATTCTGGAACATTTATAATTGGCAACAAATACTATTTTAGCATTTATTCATCCAGTACACCATGTTAAACACAGTGTTTGCGAGCCAAATAGCATCCACAGCCTGTCATCCATATAAAGAGACAGCACAGCCAGAAGAGAGAAAAGGAGACAGTCTGGCTCACAGCCCAAACTTTTATTTTCTTCCCTTTTTTTTAAAGTGACGGGGCAGGAGATATTGAAACCCATGGTAGCAGAGGGCCATGATCACAAAACAGGGCTGTGCTTGACACTTTACAGGCAACTGCTATTTGCTAATCTGATAATTAAGACATCAGTCCATTTGGTTTGAAAACCAAATATGCAGTGTGCTTTCCAAGGCCGTGCAAAGATGGGTCTTGGCCTGGAATACGAAAGGTACTTCCCACCCGATACCCACCCTCGGAAGACAATTTACAGTCAGGAGCCACTTAAACAAGACAATATCAGAAAAGCAAAATAAAAAATAATAAAAAAGAAACAAAGTTAGTCAATACACACTGCGAGCTCCAACATATACTATACCCATCTGCATTCTTCAAGACCTCAGCTGCAGAATTTTATGCCCACTGTTGAAAAGTTTTAAAGGAAAAGTTTTCTTGCCCACACCTGCAGTAAGGAAGTCAGGGGAACGATACATAAAAGTAAAGGCAAAGTGGTAATGGTATGTGACAATTTTAAAGCTAGTCTGTGTATATGACACAGGTATGTGTAATACTAACGTATGAATATAGTTTAGGATTTGCAAGCATCCAGGAATAATGTTGTGTCTACTGAAAATGTTTTTTCTTTTTTTTTTTCCTCTCTCTAAGCTACACTTTTAAAGTTACTTGTGAAAAAAAAAGCAAACACTTTTTTTTTGTTTTTGTTATAACAGCTTTAAAAATTGGTTGTGACTCACGGCTCGATGAACATGAGGCTTTTCTGCAACTCCCTTGCAGATTGATGTAGGCAGGCAAAGATACACTGAACCTTTATAAATAAAATAGAGGGGCCACAATTGTTCAGTTTGTATGAAATAAAAATATGGGAAGCAATTCAAAAGCAACTCAATACACAAAGAAAGAAAAGCACTTATTCACTTACGAAACAAAGTGCAAAGTACCTGAGCAGCCCTGCTATAAGGTGCCGACAGGGATTTAAGTATTCGGCAAGCCGCAGGAAGGAGATACAAACCGTGGCAGGAAAATACTCGGTACAGGCCGTAACCTCTCTGCGCTTGGACAAGGAGGAGCGCGGCGGGCTCCCCGAGGGCACCTACCTCCGTGCTCGGTGCACGGCGCTTAGACACGGCGCTTCCCCCTGCGCGAAACCTCCGTGCGGCCGGCGGGGCCCGGGCCCGGCCCGCCAGGCTCTCTCTAGGGGCGGCC